CGCCCCATCTCGTCAGTAACTGACGTGACGGGGGTACCCGGCGCGTCAAAATCGGACGTAGAGGGAACCTTGGAAAAGCGTCAATATGTGACGACATGGGAGTGAGAATGGGTTGGATAGTCAGTACCTTTAACTTTATAAGCTCCTGAGACACTTTGTCCCCTCAGAGAAAGTCTGTCCCCTCATCTGAGACTCTGTCCTCAGCTTCCTGTCCTCCATGTTCAGTGTGGTACACACCATGACACCAAACAGCCCTGTGACCACCTGTCAGCCTTTAAACAGACAGACTGACTGGTTACAGACTGAAGACACCTCAGATGCTGATCAGAGGACACCTGAGTTCAACGTGTCTCTGTGGACAGATGAGTTTAATCTTTTCTAGGAGAACYATCATTTTGTTGAAGACAGTTTGTTTTTCAAATAATTCTGTTGAACCAAAATTCAAACACATCTGATTTTCAGTAGTTGGTTTTTRGTATTTTTTTCTTAGTACGCAGTGATTCTGTTGATTCCAAGTTCTTACAGGGACTGTATGGATTTTTCTTTATTCAGTAAAATGGTCCATAAATTTAACGTATATGTTGGAGATAACTTGGCTACTATTGCACCAAACTTTATCTTAATATTTCCAAACTCTACCCATCCAGTAATTATTTTCTTAGACAAGTGATCTCACAGAGACACAAGCTAAAATTTAATTTCCCACCTTACGTTTTCTTGCAAGCAGCCTGGACTCTCCTGTATTCAGTCCTGGACCAGTTTGTTCAGATGTTTGTCTCTGCCTGGTTTCCTCATTTTCATGCTGTTGTGCTGCTCTCAGCCTTGGGTTTGTTTTTGTTCAACCCAACTGCCACCGGGTTAATACCTCCATCTGTTTTATATCATCCATGAATAATAAAAGAGATTCCAATTGTGTGAATAACACATCTAAATGTGCACTCACATCCATGTGTTCACACGGTGAGCGACGTTTGAGGCTCAGCGGGCCAGGAGGAAAATGAAAAGTCACAGAACTCATATGTTTGGGTAAGTGTCTTCTATTGGTGTAAATGTGAGTTAAAATGGTAGATTTCTTTTTACAGCACATTGTAATGTGCCTATTTCTGTACCGAAAAGTTATCAGTAGGGGTTTCATAAAGAAAAGCTCAGCCTTTTCACAACAATCGGCTCCAGCTGAGAGTCACAGGCCAACTGAGAGRCCATTAGCCTGCTACCTGCCTTACCTGCGGTGGTTTCTATAGAAACACACGAGAGGGAGGAAGATGTTGCACTCACCTTTGAGCTTTTGGTAAACAACAGGAAGTTCCCCGGTGGATAAACGGCAGTCTGGAGCATCACACTCGAGCTTGTTACAGGGATGAGGTGATGATTTGGCTGCAGAACAGGGCTCGTTAGCTGGATATACATTCTGGGAAGTGGCTGGGATAGGACTGGGCATGATCCCGAGCACCGGTTCTCCCCGGAGGTCGTTTAGCATCCCCATTACCATCAACCTGCATGGGGCTCGCAGGCGACAGACACGGTAAGAGCAGACAATGGACTGGGCCTGCCAGCAACATCAAGACTTCAGAAAACACTGCTGGGAGTTCATTACAACAGAAAACACTTTAAATGTGAACAGAGCTTCACACTACAGAAACACTGACAGTGGAGGTGGAGGAAACACAAATCTAAAGTTTACATTGTTTAGACTTGATTGTTATACTTTGAGCACTGCAAACACTAAAAATAAATTCATCTTTAGTTTATGTCAACAATATTTATGTGATAAATACTTGTTTTRTCAAAAGATGGTAAAAAATAATCAATTTCTTTGATGTTATATTAAATCAGTAAGACAACACTTGATTGAATTGATGCTCTCAATGTATGTGTTAATCATAATAATAAAGAATTTAATTTGTAACACACTTTTCATTAACAAACTTGGTTTCAACTCAATAAATTATCATTAAATTTAGATAAGACAAATTATATATCTTACAAATTATTTATCTTTGGTAACAGAAAGAAAACTGTTTATGTTCCAKTTAGAGTCGATGGTATTGAGATCTGTAGAGTCAGTGAGGTGACGTTTTTGGGTGTTGTCATAGATGAAAAGCTGACATGGTGACCTCATATAARTCATTTAAGAACAAAAATCCATTGCAGTGTTATTCAAAGTAAAGGATTTATTTAATGATAAAGCTCTGTTTATATTATATAACGCAATAATTGTTCCACTCTTGATCTACTGTATTGATGTTCAGGAAAAAGCGTGTAAAAAAATTACAAATCCTATATTTATTTTACAGAAAAGAGCTGTAAGAATTATCGCCACAAAGCAATAATATCACCCATCAAATACATTGTTCCATCAGTTAAAGTTATTGAAATTCTACAATTACACTTTATTAAAAGAAAGAGTTGTCTCAAGGGGATAGAAATGTTTGTAAGACCTAAATTTAGAACGAACAGAGTACTTCAGTCCAGGTAATTAAATTATGGAATAATCTGGAAGATGACATTAAAAATGCCTGATCAAAATGCATGTTTAAGAGAATGATAAAGGTTAATTTGCGGGAGAAATATGCACATGTATGAATTGTTGTTCAAGGATTTAAACTTTTATCATTTTTTCTTTTTCTTTTCTTTTTTTGTAAACTGTAGATAATTTTTGATTTAAATTTTTTTGAGAAAAAGGGGCAGATAGAAGAATTTTTCTTCTTCTGCTGCCTTTCATTTAAATGGTGATTTGTAT